CTAACATTTTAGGATATGAGTACTATATTTTAATATGTCATAATAAGTTACTTCAGCTCTCAAGTTACCAATCACACTAAAACAAAAATTATTTATTTGATAGTTTGAATATTTTTTACACCATCATTAAAATTAAACTCATATCAAAATAGACAATGCAATTTCTTTTATAAAAGTTACTAGTAGAAAACTACTACTCCATTTGTTTAAGAGCCCATTTGGATGTGTTTGTTTTAAGTGATTTTTAAGCCAAAAGTCATAAGTTAGAAATTCTAACTTTTGACTTTTGGCTTATTTTTGTCATTTTAACTTAAAAACAAGTGCTTAAAAGTGTTATGAAATATCATATTTTGTAGTGGATGTCTATAACTCCTAAAGAAGTTACTCCCACTACTCTTCTCTATTATGTAGATAACTCCCACTACTTCTCACCATTATAGTTGTAACTCTCACACCTCCATAACCTCTCCATGATCTTCCTCCATGATCTCAAATATTTAATGTCATGTTTATGGCATTCTTTTGTATGCCTCTATGTAATCCTATAAATATAAGTTTCTTAACACATTATCAGCACGAATTGCGAAAGAATGAGTATAGGTTCAAAATCAGGTATGCTAATAGGTATAGCAACGTGTGTTTGTGTAGATGGAATCTACTTCTTTTGATTTTACCCATTCCTCATTTATGCTAATCATGCTCTATTTTTTAACGTACAAATAAGGATGACAATTAAGTAATATAATAGAAACCTACCAAGCTATTAGGTAATTTACTGAATGTTGATATTTGTCATTTTCTCTTTGTGCTTACCTCACAGTCCAATACCAAAGAAAGAAAAATTTATACGATTACGTGCTCTTATAACCAAATGAACCCATGACTTTGGTTTGATAATAGCTCTTTCTAATATTTTGTTATTGGTTGATATTATATTAATAAAGATGAAAGGATATGATAGTACTTTTAGTCGTATTTTATGGGTTATAATGTGTATGGATTACCGTTTCATAATTAATTTGTGAGTTTGCGTAAAACAGTTAAAAAATTCCTTCATTGTTATGATATTTTATGAATGTCCACATGCTTTCGTCACACCATTTAAGACACATTTAATTTAGAGATGTAAGAATAAGAGATGATAAGTGGTAGCTGACAGCGAACGCTTATAAGATTTGCTTGTCAATGAATTACGATAATTTCTTAACACTTGGCTGCTGCTACTTTGGTTTTGTTTATTATTAGTACCTAGGATTATCATGCAATAGTTCTTTAAATTGAATGTTTTGCATTAGAAAATATACTTGAACCATGACAGAGTTATATAGTATGCATGGTTGCCTAAAGTGATGTAACACTTTTAAATACTCGAGGGCGAGTCCCAGTATACTTTGGTTTATTATGCTATTAATTGAGGGTAAGATGGTGGGTTCAAGTCTCAGCGCACTATAAGGGTAAGACATCGGGTTCAAGTCCTGATGCACTATGATAATAAGAGTTGGATTTGAGTCCAAACTTATTATGGCCTAGCATGCTTTTATATGGATAAGGCATTGGGTTTTAGTCCGAATGGACCAAATTGATGATCTAATGATGACTAATGAAAAATAATGTATTTTTCATGAAAAAGCATGAAGCTTGTCCCACTTGATTTGCTCCATTCTTGAAGTGAATGTGATAGTGGTGCATAATAATGAAGACAAGTGGTTGACTAATGAACGTGGGCGTGCCAAAGACCAAAATAATAATAGTCATCATTATGGTAATTATAAAAAGGAGAACAATAAGGGTTCTCAAAATAATCCTTCAAAGGTGAAGGAATTGTGTATCAATATGGTCTGTAAATATGAGGCACGCTCAGACGATTATAGTCTATTTTTTTGAAAGAATGCGACTTGTGATAAGCATTGTAAATGCAAACTCATTCCTGAAGTGAGTGTGAAAATATATATGTGATACAAATTATGCACAAGAATGTATTTATGCATGGTTGAATAAATACTACAATTCACCTCTATGGAAGGTTTGAGAGAAAGAAAGATCATGAACATTACTATGTGGTTACACGAATATGTCATTGGTCGTGTACATGTGGTAAGCCGAAAATATTTTGCCATGCCTTATAAAAAGTTATTAAAGGAAAAATTAAAGCAAGAAAAGATTTTGCTTATGATGATTTTGACCATGACAATTGTTATGATAAGATATTTTTCTCCGTGGAGGAAAAATTCACCACTTGGATGTTGTTATAAAAGATCTTGTAGTGCAAAATTATTGAGAGCTCCAGAAGAGCGAATTTGTTACTACCCGAATAAATAAAATTATTCATGGCATTGGTGGTAGTAAGTCTCAAAAGAAGCTTTTTGAGTTTCAAATGTATTAGCCAAAGTGGTTGGCATATTGAGACTATAAATGAAAGGAAGATCGATTATCTTCATATTACTATAACATACCGGGTAAATATGAAGGTTACCCGATTTTTCTTCTATTTGTACTACACAAATAAGCATGATGATGGAATCGCATGACATAGTAAATTAGATGTTTACTGAAATAAATATCAGTTGGCATGACCGGTTGGCCATCCCGGTTCATTTATGATGTATTGATTGAGAATTCACATTGGCATATATTGAAGAAATATAAGATTCTTCAAGAATTCTCTTGTGCTGCTTATTCTCATGATATATCAGCTAAGGTTGGGATTAAATTCCTTGATTTCTGGAACGAATAAAAGGTTATATATATATGGGCCCAGTCACCTGCCATGTGGACCGTTTACTATTATATGATTTTAATATATGCATTTGTTGTATGGTCACATGTGCGTTTGATATCAACTTGCAGTTTGGATTTTGCAAGATTGATTACTCAAATTATTAGAGCACAGTCCAGAATATAAATTTATCTTGATAATGCTGGTTTATATCTAAGTTGGTTTAGCAGAAGTTGTATGCCTCCAATTATAGCTAAACCATTGGTTATGAGAACAAAACTCTCAAATAGAAATTTGGTATGAGGTGTATTATTTAATATACAACAGCACTTGTACGCATCTAGCCAACAAGTTATGAAAAATTCTCCCTGTCACAATTGGTTCAGGGTCAGGAACCAAATAACTTCCATCTAGAAATATGAATGTGCGATATGATTTAATTATCCCATTACAATGCACAAATATGGGTTCACAAAGAAGGTTAGAAAATGTGTTGGTGATCCCAACATTAGGGGGAGAAAATAGGCAGCTGAAAAATTGATACGTGGAATGAATTATTATGAGTACATCTAAATCCTCGTACAAGAAAATGTTAACTTGAAGTTCAAGTGGTAATTCAGTTGCAAAATATTGCCAGGGGCATCTGCTGACCCAAAGCTAAATGTCATATTTCAGCTGCTAATGCTCCAAGTAAAATAAAGTCTAAGATGGATAGAGTCCATGACACGTTGGTTCCAAAGATAAAACTCCTTGAAGAAGGAGTGGAGCAAATGATCAAGATGGTCATTATAAAGAGGCAAGTGCTCTAGAAGAGCACCACGACATAACAATCTATAAGACCTCATGGAAGAGGCTCAGGTACCTGAAAATAATGATCGATAAGCTATGTCTTTATTGTGTGATGATGGAACCGATGTAAAATGATCGTCGACGATGTTGTTAATATAATGTAGCGCTCAATATTATTAATATTGACGAGGATCTTGAGCTCAAATCTGTCATGGAATTTGGACAGATAAATGATTGGCCAAATGAAAAATATGAAGCTGGACGAATAGTCCCAACAACTGAAAGTATAAAGGCTATATGGAGATATTGAAATATGATTAGTATTATATTGCAAAAAAGAATCCTTGATATAGATTTGTTTATTCTAACAAATATTGTCAAGGTTTTGTTGGTTATACAAATGCAGGGCATAGTTCGTTGTTCAAACAATCTATTTTCATGTGAGGACGTGTGACTTTTCTTTGAAGAGACGATTCCAATAATATTGAAGACGATGCTACTTGCAAGCTCAATTGAAAGAACGATATATTGAAGAAGACAAAATAAAGCACATTTAGCCAAAGTTTCTTTACAGAGACGATCTTCAACAGAATGATGAAACAGATGTTTAAGAAATTCGTTCAAGTGATAATTTGACGGAATAATTCACCAAGGTATTACCGATTTCAATATTAAAGAAGTTGTTATACAAGCTTGGAATTCGTCGTCTCCGAGAAATAAAGTGATATTTTCATCAGGGGAGGCAAATACGCGTTGTACTCTTTTTCCCTTAGCTAAGGTTTTATCCCACTGGATTTTCCTGGCAAGGTTTTTAATGAGGCAGCAAGTAATGCGTATTACAAGATATGTGTACTCTTTTTCCTTCACTAAGATTTTTTCCCACAGGATTTTTTCTTAGTAAGGTTTTAACGAGGCACATTATCTATAGACATCCAAGGGGGAGTGTTATGAAATATTATATTTTGTAGTGGATGTCTATAACTCCTAAAGAAGTTACTCCCACTGCTCTTCTCCATTATGTAGATAACTCCCACTACTTCTCACCATTATAGTTGTAACTCACACACCTCCATAACCTCCCCATCATCTTCCTCCATGATCTCAAATGTTTAATGTCATGTTTATGGCATTCTTTTGTATGCCTCTATGTAATCCTATAAATAGAGGGTTTTAGCACCACATTGTATATACTTGAATACATTGGAGAAATAAGAATCTCTTCTCTCTTCTCTCTACATTCTTGTCTATTTGCTTGTTTCATATTATTACTTTGAGCTAAGTTTCTTAACAAAAAATACTTTTTTTTACTTTATCCAAACACTACAAAATAGCTTTATTTTGGCTTAAAGCACTTAAAATAAAGCAATCCAAACGGGCTCTAAATCTTGAAGTGAAAGTAATACTGGCAACGAGAGGGAAAATAAAAGAAAAAAAAGGAAGAATTCACAATATGAAAAGTAACCAAGAATTGGGTTTAACACAACTTCCTGGGAAAAATAACTTTTTTGTTATCTTACGACAACTTCCTGTCAAAGCAACTGAGGAAAGCTGTAAATTATAATCATATTGACCATAAAAATAGTTCATTATTTCACCCTTCAAGCCATTCAAAAACCTCTTGTGCTTAACTGCTTGTGCACAAGTATATATTATGTTGAAAAGTAAGCTGCATATTCTATTCATATTTCACCCCACTTCTCCTCCTTTACTTTCTGGGTATGTATGGTTGACTAAAAGCAGTATAAATATGTTAAATTTGCTGTAATTTTAATGGGGTTTTTGCTTATTCATTTGCTTCAATTTTAGGTTCTTGATCCTCCAAAGGAAGCTACTATTTCAGATCTTGAAGTGGTCAGTTGTTCATTATTTCTCTTGCATTTACATGGTTTTCTTGTATTTGGGGTACTAATGCAAGTATTTGAAGTTCTATTTTTCTTGAGTATTGAAATGCTTTATTGCTATTTTTGACATATTTCTGCTACTTTCTTGAATAAAAATCTGTTCTTTTTAAGTGAAAGTTTGTGTTATTGCCTCACCCAAGTGAGGATGTGATTGCTTGATTTAATGCACTTTTCTGGTGTCTTTTGCTGTTAAAGTTGTTATATTTTGTTGCTTTTCATACTTCCTGTGAGTATTGGAAGGTTATTAACTCTGTTTGTTGACTCTGCTTCAAGGGGTTTGCAGGTGGAAAAGAATTAGATTGTGTTAAATAAAATCAAGATTTTCAATAGGAAGAAGCAAAGGTTGTTTGAGGGATCATGTTCTCTTTCCAGAAATGGAGGTGTTCATGGTCCCTTATGGTATCAGTTGCTTCAATTGTGACATTGGTTTCAGTTGTTCATTTATTCATATACCCGGTTGCGCCTTCCTTGGACTACTTTAGGCCATTTCAGAACTCTTGTGTACCTATAAATAGATCCAATGAAGCAGAAAAGATTATCCTGAAAGATAATAAGTCAATTGAAGATAGAAAGAATAATGCAACAGACAGTATATCAACCGAAGGAAGTCAAAGCAATCCTGATACGAGAAGCCCCATCTCAACGGTTGATCTTAATGTCAATTTTCCTTCCGATTTACACAATTCTGTGGTATATCGAGGTGCTCCATGGAAGGCGGAGGTTGGCCGATGGTTAGCTGGTTGCGATTCAAATACTTCCGCAGTTAAAGTCATTGAGGTAAGCTTGTAAAACTGCTTTCTTTCGATTACTTATGTAAAGCTTCTTGCCTGTTGATGTTTTTGGTAAGTTACACTCTTACTGTTAGAGATTCATCGATGGTAGAAGCTTCATTTAGTATCTAATCCAACAAGGTCAAGTTATGTTGCTCTTAGTTTCTGTTAATCTGTTTCCCGAGATAATTTAGCTCATTATGGGTGTACTGGTATCAGCCAATCAGTGGCAAGAGCTGCAGGAATGATTGCAGTGGTCAAGGCATCTGCAATCGCGAATTGGGTCAATGCCGCTGCTTTCATGGTTTCACTGGTTTGTAAACCTTTTCGCTCCTTATATTGATGTTTATCTTAGAACACATAATTCTGATTAGTGTGTTCATGATATGGACAGTAAATATTTTTGCTCCTTATATCGATGCCATTTATTTTGTGCATTGAATAGCCAACAAGTAACTTTCAAATACTTGGTAGTTTTGATTCATGTTGATGATTGTAACGGTTTCATCTCCTTTCCATAGTTCCAAGGGGATGATACCATGTTGTCTCCTAAAAAGAAATATGAAAGCTCTTTTGTCATGTGGCAAATACTGGTATCTTTCTTACAAAGAAATATACAAATTAAAGGCTTCCTGTATTTACTTTCTCGCATGTTTCTTAAAGTACTCATCCATTTTTTTAAGACTTTCTTACTATAGGAGTCTGACCTGGTTTCACCTGTAGTTAAGCACCTATATTTTTAGATTACGGTTTCACATAATGCCATATCTTTTCAGGTGAAGATTGTGCAGAGAGGCAGGAGTTGAGCTGCAACTACCCTGGACCAAAGGAGGCACAGTTTGGGCGTTGGGTTGTCTCAATTTGTGCTGCTTATTGCGACACAACAAGAGCAATGTGCTTTTGTGGGGAAGGCACAAAATACCCAAATCGTCCACTTGCTGAGGCATGTGGCTTTACAATCAAGTAAGCCTATCAGTTTCTCAAGTAACCTTGATTTGGCTATCTTGCATAGCAAGGATCTTGACAATAACTGCTTGTATATGTGATTCAGTCCTCCATCTGAACCTGGTGGTTCTCCTATGACTGACTGGACAAAAGCTGATCTCGATGTCTTCACTACCAATGGTAGCAAACGAGGGTGGTGTAATGTGGATCCTGCAGAAGCATATGCTTCCAAAGTGCTTTTCAAAGAGGAGTGTGATTGCAAGTATGATGGTCTGTGGGGTCGATTCTGTGAGGTGTCTGTTCTAAGCACTTGTATAAATCAATGCTCAGGCCATGGGTTGTGTCGAGGTGGATTTTGTCAGGTAAAATCAACCCTCATTGTCTTTTGTTCGAGGAAAGTTTCAAAAATATTTGACCGAGATTTAGATGTTGATTGCAGAATTTAGCCTTAATCATTCTTATTCTCATTTTCTCATTACCTGGCTTTTGTTTTGTTTAAATTTTCTGAAAGTTGTCTAGTAGACACTTCCCTTTAGATCACCTTGTCATTTTCCTCGTGTCAAAGTGTGAAACATGTCCCTTCTTTATACCCACACAAACTTGTAGTTTCCTTCTGACAACTTCATCTTCACTGAGAAAGTACTGTGAGTGTACAAAAGCAGAACTTCTTTAACATGGTCTATTATAACGCTAGCTCCTTTTGCTTACATATTGCAGTGTAGCAGTGGTTGGTTCGGAGCAGATTGCAGTGTACCCTCCGTCGTATCATCCATTACAGAGTGGCCTCACTGGCTACGACCAGCTCAGGTCAACGTTCCTGAGAATTTGATGAGCGGAGTAAATCTTGTCAATCTGGATGCTATCGCGGAGAAGAGAAGGCCCCTCATATATGTTTATGACTTGCCTCCAGACTTCAATAGTCTTCTTTTAGAGGTCAGAACAACTTCTTCTGCCAATCTTATCTGTTCGATTGAAGAGTAAAATTCTAATACATATTTGCTTCCTGGGTAATGCAGGGACGGCACTTTAAACTGGAATGTGTGAACAGAATGTATGATCACAGAAATGCTACAATTTGGACTGACCAGCTGTATGGCGCACAGGTAACAGTCTTAGGCAACTCCAACTGAACAATTGAATGTTTGGTATGACATTAATTAACTATGCTTAAGTTTTTTCATAGATGGCACTCTATGAGAGCTTGTTAGCTAGCCCTCATCGGACATTGAATGGAGAGGAAGCAGATTTTTTCTTTGTTCCAGTTCTTGATTCATGTATTATAACTCGTGCTGATGATGCTCCACATTTGAACATGCAGGTATTGTTGCGTTTTATTTTTCTGTATTATTATGTCAAAAATCACCTGTACGATATATACCTCTTTCTGAAAACATGTAGTGAGCAGATTTGTTTGACTGTTGACAAGTTCACATTGCGTGCAGACCTAAATCATAATATCCATTTGATGTCCTACCCCAAAGCCCTGTGTACATGTAGAACATTAAATTATGTGGTTTATGGATCCTAATGCCATATATCCTGCATGAAACTACTTTTATGTTTGTTATTGGAATGGACATGCCTATATCATGGCTTGAACATGTACTTAGGTTACACTTTCTTTATGATCAATTTCAGGAACACAAAGGGCTGAGAAGTTCTCTGACGCTGGAATTCTATAAAAAGGCTTATGATCATATAATCACACAGTATCCGTATTGGAACCGCTCATCTGGAAAGGATCACATCTGGGTATGATCTCTATAAAGATTTCCACATTAATATGTAGCAAACAGTAATTAGAGATGCTTAAACATTCATAGAAGAAAGAAAGACAAAAACTAATGAACAAGGAAAGAAACGGTAAAACTTTTATGGTATTGATGTCACTGATTTCATCTTTTTTTCAAGGCAGTTCTTCTCATGGGATGAAGGTGCTTGCTATGCTCCGAAAGAGATATGGAACAGCATGATGTTGGTCCATTGGGGTAATACAAACTCGAAGCATAACCATTCAACAACAGCGTATTGGGCTGATAATTGGGATTCAGTTTCCTCGGACAGAAGAGGAAACCACCCTTGCTTTGACCCAAATAAAGATCTCGTACTTCCAGCTTGGAAACGACCTGATGAAGGTTCCTTAGAGGCTAAACTATGGTCCAGGTAGTTTTGCCTTTCAAATGCATTTGGTTCAGATTTTATTTTATATTGACCATGAGTCATGACCAAATATTGTTGGACAAATACGCATGCAGACCTCGTGAGAAGCGGAAGACATTCTTCTATTTTAATGGAAATCTTGGACCAGCTTATAAAAATGGAAGACCAGAAGCTACGTAAGTGATCTGAAGCCTATAAGATTTGGATTTCTACTGCAAGACGTGAAGCACGTTATGTTCGAGACACTAACCTCCGGGTCTCTGACAGCTCGCTCATTAACCATTATTGGTAGAAGAGAGCACGTTGGCCATTTGTATTGTTGGTTTACAAATCATCCTTAGCACACAGCTTTTGACAAAATTTAATAATAGTGAGGCTGTTGGTGAAATCTGCAGGTATAGTATGGGCATAAGGCAAAAAGTGGCCGAAGAATTTGGATCAACCCTTAACAAGGAAGGTAAGCTTGGCAAGCAGCACGCAGAGGATGTGATAGTGACACCACTACGTGCTGGGAACTACCACGAGGAATTGGCAAGTTCTGTCTTTTGCGGGGTTATGCCTGGGGATGGTTGGAGTGGTAGAATGGAAGATAGTATTTTGCAAGGGTGCATTCCAGTGGTGATTCAGGTAGTTTATTATTGCACGCTTTATTCCAGTGGATTGCGACAGATAAGCGCCTTCATATGAAGCTTTTTGAATACTTACTCTTATGTCCTATGTGTCTGACTTCCATTTCCCTATGCTCAGGACGGGATATACCTGCCATATGAGAATTTTCTCAACTACGAAAGTTTTGCCGTTAGGATACGTGAAGATGAAATACCCAATCTATTAAACATTCTCCGGGTAACTCTATGCTCTCTTCAGTTCAATGTAGAAGTTTTCGCTTCATTCATGGTAGGTGTAGCTAGGATTGACTGATAATATATTTACTTCTTGTAGAGCTTTAACGAGACAGAAATAGAATTTAAATTGGCGAATGTGAAGAGAATCTGGCAAAGATTCTTGTATCGGGATTCAGTTGTGCTTGAAGCTGAGAGACAGAAAGCTTTACGTGGTAGTGTTGAGGACTGGGGTCTAAAGTTTTCGCAGCTAGAGGAAGATGATGTGTTTGCCACATTCATACAGGTACTTATCATGTTTTCTCTAATGCTTTTATACCTGTAGATTGTTTTATTAATACAATTCTGAATCTTAGCACCATGCTGAGACATATGCGGCAGAGAAAAAGCCTTGATTAGTACATGTACATGATCGACAATAATTCCATCTTTCCGAAAATAATAATATGCTGAGAGATATGTTTTTCCTTTTGTTTCCTTAGGTGTTGCACTACAAGTTGCATAATGATCCTTGGAGACGACAACTTCTTCTGCAGAAAAAGGAATTCGGATTACCTAAAGAATGCTTGATTCAAACAGAGGGATAAACTACTTTATACTTAAAGACCTGAAACAGGATACAGCACAAGGAGGCATTAAAAGCATTAGAAACTGTGCTCTCTGGCAGTATATACCAATTTTTTAGTCAAATACATTCTGTGCAGTGACAGCTTAAGGCAAAGCATGTCTTGTGTTATTCTTATTTAGGCCATTTTTTATACATGTAAATGAATTAGCTTCTCTTAGGAGCTATTTTTTGTACAAGATGAAAATTAGCCACTTAATTAGGGAACAATTCTTACCCTTTGTTTCATGTTTATAGAGAACAACTCATATTATTGATTCCCAAAGGAGAAAATATTCAGTGAAGAAGATGAAAGTTCTATATCCAATAAATTTCAGATGCTGTTTTGTATAAATGAAACTTGTGCCTTATACATTATTCAAATATCATCCTCTGTGTTTCCTTGTCTTGTATTCCGTTTTGAGTTATTTGGATTCTACAAACAACTAAAGTTAGTTAAATCTGAAGGTGTTTCATTAAGTGTGTTTGGTATGACAGAAAATGTTTTCCTTAGAAAAAAAGTGATTTTCTTACTTATTTTCCGGTGTTTGATTAGGCAGCAAAAAATATAGTTTGAAAATAAATAATTTAGGCAAACACTATATGAAACGAAATGTGTAAGGGCAGGGGAGGGTGGTGGGTCGGGGTCTAAGAACCAAAGTAACGGTGGCAATATTGGGAGGCAGGAGGATGGGTGCTGGGAAGGTTGAGAAAGAATTTTGAAAAAAGGGAAGTTATTTTCTCTAATTGAAGGAAAATGAATTCATGTGATAAATATTTTTCAAAATATGTAAGTCAACCAAACATGAAAAAAGAATTAAAAAATATTTTCCTTCTACCAATACGCACCCTAAAAGTTTCACCAATTTTGCTCCTTAGATTTTAGAAAAAGGTTCACTATAGTATAGGTTTAAGAAAAAGGTTCACTGTAGTAACCTTCCTTGACAAATATATTGGTTAAATAAGATAAATCAACCATTAGGACGTGAACCTCTTCTCCTTTTTCACCATTTATCCTTTAGATGTCTCATTTAATTATTCTTCTTCTTGAGCCGAGGGTCTTTCGGAAACCGCCTCTCTACTCCCCCGGGGTAGGGATAAGGTCTGCGTACTCACTATCCTCCCCAGACCCCACTTGTAGAATTTCACTGGGTCGTTGTTGTTGTTATATGTCTCATTTAATTAATACTAGTATTGGTAAATTTGAAAAAATAATAATTAAATGGCTTCTTATTTTCTTAAACGCAATATATTTTGAAACAAATTTAATTTGCCAAAATGACTAATATGTAGCAGGTAATCCTACTTTATTTTGATTCGCGAACTATATTTCCCGTTTAATGAATAAGTTTTGTATGTCAGCTTTACGATGGGTGGCCAGTCAAAATCAATTTCCAAGTAACAAATTTGAAATTTTAAGAGCTATTTAAATAGAAAACGGAAAAAAATATTTGAATTATTGCCAGATATCTTGGTTTGTAATGTTAGAAGAGCTATTTAAATCGAATAACTATAGCAAAACTTTCTCTAAATAGAAGAGCTTTTTGTCTCTTGGATGCTGAACGAACCTTTCCTTGAGCCATTATATATAAAGGTCCTTATAACAGAAAATACTATTCAAGTCGGTTCATTTTGTATATTACTAACGTTGGTTCATTTTGTATTTTATCTCTTTTGAAGAAGATATTAGTATTCATGCTTTTTAATATAATTTCTCTCTTTAGTTCTTATTATCAAGAGAGAATTACACATAAGTACAGCTCATACACCTGTATTCCAACCTGATGGCTCAAATAAAACTTATGAATTTGTAGCTGTATGGGGTGAACTTGATTGATAATAGGTGGTCGAATGATAAAGTGACACGTGGAACCGAAGACAAATAAAAGATGAGTTAACGAATAACTGGCGCTGGGTGCGAAGTATGTAACCGGTACAGGATGAATCCCAAAGGAAGCACAACCGATGGTGAAGATTAAACGCTTGGCATCAGATAACATTTAATGAGCAACCGTTACAGAGAATATCTGCATTCAAAGGCCAGCCTTTATGCACCCATCAATGGCCTTTTTATTCTCATTCAAGAGGAGCTTGATTTTAGGATCTTGTCTCCCTAAGGATAACTATAAATAGCAGGATTGAAAACCCTAGTAGGACATGAAACATTTTACACACAACGCTTTATTCTACTATTTTATGCTCAATATAAACAGTTTTATCATTGCATGATCAGTGCCTTTTAATTTGCTCTCGGAAAGACTGAGTTTGGAATCAAGCTCGTTATCTCCTTTAATTTTAGTCGGTGATCTTATTTTATTTTCACTTCTTTATCATTATTGGATCAAATCGATTTATTTGTGTATAAATCTCATTGTAAATTCAATTGTACCGTTTTACAGGTAAATAGTTTGGCGCCCATTGTGGGGTATAGACATCTACCTAATTGCATTGATCCATTAGTTTCTTGCAAACGAATTTCAATTTTTTCTTAAGTAAAAGTCAGATATGGCAACCAATGATGTCAACAACGTTCATAACGTTGGAGCACACGATGAACGAGAAGAGGTATCTCAACGTGATGATTCCATCAGCGAAACTCGCAATGAAGAGGATGAGACAACCCCAGTTCGCGAAGGGCAATATCTTCGACATGTGCAGGGCCCAACTCTTGATGATGCAGGAGGACGAACATGTTGTGGAAACGGTTAAACTCTTGAGAAAACAACAAAGAGCAATCATGGAACACCTCTCAAGGCAAGATCGTGTGATGACGGAATTGAAACAGGCATTATCGGGTGCTTCCAACAACTCTAACGAAAGGAGCCCGGTTCATCCCAACGTTCCCGCGAATCAAACATCACAAAGGACCGATAATAACACTCCAATGGATGAGGTCAGTTTCGAAGAAGCCGGGGGTATCGGTAGTGGATCTGTGAACAATAAATTGAGTGATCCTTTTAAAACCGAGCTCATGAGATTCATGAGAGAAATGAATGAACGAATGGATCAAAATGCGAAGGAGTTTCACGCTCGGATGGATCAGATTCCGGGTGCGCCGCCGGTATTAAAGGGTCCAGATTCCAAAATATACGCGCAGTTGCCGTTTAAGCTAAGTGCGGCACTAGAGTTAATTCGAAAGAGATTCAAGATGTTAGACATACCAATGTATGATGGAACTTCGGATCCGCAGGAGCACATCACAACCTACACCACGACAGTAAAAGGAAACGATTTGGCTCAACATGAGATCGAGTCGGTTTTGTTGAAGAAGTTCAGTGAAACCCTCATGAAGGGGGCACTGCAGATTCGTTCATTAAGGCCCATGCTGGAGCAAGAAAGGTTCAGGATAGAAAGGCGGACATATTCATAATTTTACAAGGAGAATCCGAGCTGTTGCGGGAATTCGTAATCCGGTTCCAGCCAACATCATACAATGGAGAGTTTTGGAGCAAGCAAAAATAATCAGGAACATCATTCCGGCAACAAAGCTCCTAGCTGGCTTCAACTTGACAAGTGTGATAACCCGAGGAGAAATTTTGCTACCCAATCACACTGAAGGTGTAGCAAAGACCACCATGTTCGAAGTGGTAGATGGCGACATGAGCTATAACGTGATCCTCGGAAGGCCATGGATACACGAGATGAAGGTTGTGCCCTCGACCTATCACCAGTTGCTGAAATTTCCGATGCCAGAAAGGATCAAGCAGATACGAGGAGGCCAATAGGCGGCAAGGGAGATGAACGTGGTGACCATTTCCAGCATCAAGGGAAAATAATCCAACAAATAGCAATTATAAGAGCTGATGCATTCTCCCTTTTCGAATGAAGATGATAAAAAGGCAAGGAGTCATCGTAATCCTATCAGATTCCGAGGTACTTTCAGGTACCATAGGAGACGGATGCGACCAAGTCGACCATAGAAGAGCTCGAGCAAGTGGCTTTGTTCGAGGAGTTTTTGGAAAGAAAGTTTCATTTCGTGACGGGATTAAATCCCGAGCTCAGGTTAGAGTTTATAAATTTTCTTAAAAGCTAACGTTGACTGCTTTGCGTGGTCCCACTCGGATATGACAGGTATCCCATTAGAGGTAGCGGTCCACAAAATAATTCTGGATCCAAACATCCTACCGGTAAGGAAAAAGAAACACTTGATAGCAGAGGTCAGGAACATTTTTGTTAAGGAAGAGGTAACCTGACTACTTAACATCGGTTCAATTCGAGAGGTAAAGTACCCGGAATGGTTAGCCAACGTAGTTGTATTACCTAAAAAGAATAACAAATTTAGGATGTGTGTGGACTATAAGGATTTAAATAATGAGTACCCCAAACACTCATTCCCGTTGCTGAACATTGATCAAATGATTGATTCTACGGCCGGGCACGAGCTAATGAGTTTCGTTGATGCTTACTTCGGGTACAATTAGATTAAGATGAAACCGTAGGATCAAGAAAAAACTTCTTTCATAACAAACTTTGGCATTTATTGCTATAATGTGATGCCTTTTGGGCTTAAAAATACCGGAGTCACTTATCAGAGGCTCGTTAATAAGATGTTTGAGAATCAGATAGGCAAAATGATGGAAGTGTATATTTATGACATGTTAGTTAAGTCTTTAAATGCAAAAGATCATTTGAAACCTCTCCAAGAAAATTTTGACATCTTGCGGAAGCATAACATGAAACTCAACCAGGAGAAATGTGCCTTCGGGGTTGGCTTCGATAAATTCTTGGGGTTCCTAGTCTCGCAAGGAGGGATCGAGGTAAATCCTGATAAGATCAAATTCATCAAGGACATCCCCGACCAACTGACAAGTGTGAAGGAAGTACAGAGGCTGACCGGTAGGTTGACGGCTCTTAGAAGATTCCTCTCAAGATACTCAGAAAAATGCCACCACTTCTTTTCACTTCTGAAAAAGAAGAACAACTTCGTATGGACTCCGAAATGACAATAGGAACCGAAGTACCTAAAAATGGTAGCTATCCAACCCTCCGTTATTGTCAAAATCGGGGAAAGGCGAGCAACTGCTAATTTATCTAGCGGCCTCGAAAGTAGCGGTAAGTGCCGTTTTGGTCCAAAAAGAAGAAGGTACGAAATTTCCTGTTTATCATGTTAGTAAAATATTATCAGGAGCAAAGACTCATTATCCGCACCTCGAAAAGCTGGCCTTAGCTCTCGTAGTTGCCTCTCGAAAGCTTAGGCCTTATTTTTAGTGTCACCCAATAGTCGTTGTGACAATCTTTCCCTTATGGAATGTCCTTCACAAGCTTGAGTTGTTAGGCCGTCTGGCTAAGTGGGCGGTCGATGTTAAAAAATTCGTCATTGAATATAAACGAATGACTGCAATTAAGTCACAAGTT